GTAGAGGGTCAGTGAAAAAGAGGAAGACCCTCAATGAGATGGATTGACACAGTGGCTGTAACAATGGGCTCAAGCATAACAATGATTGTGAGGATGGCACAGGACCGGGCAGTGTTTCCTTCTGTTGTACAGAGGGTGGTTATGAGTCAGAACCAACTCAGTGGCACCTAACACACAACACAGAGTTAAAGACAAATGTGCAAAGAACAAAAATTCAAGATAGACTCTAAGTCTACACCATAAATACAAACAAGACATTGTGGGGATTCAGGAAGGTCTATATTAAGTTAAGGACATATAACAAGTCTTGATGAAGGTAGTACTGGAAATTTTGAAGAAATACTTAAGGTTTTTATATGGAATGTGGGTGGATTGGGCAGTAAAATGGAAAAGATACTCTGGTTAGTAGAAGGAGTATAAGCAAAAATACAGAGGCACAAGGTTAGAACTCTAGGAACAGTGTATAGTTAACAGTGAGTATACTGACAGTGGAACTGGGATATCAGTGGAAACAAGATCCCCATGACAGTCAGGAATATTGGAATCCTGCCTTTGTTTACCCCTACCCCTCCTGACAAGATCCTCAAGAAAGAAGCTCAGGAAACAATAGCAAAACACATTACATTAACACGTTGTTGTTGTTGGCTGCCATCAAGTTGACAACAAAACAAAAAGCTGCTCTGTCCCGTGCCATCCTCACAATCACTAGTATGAATCTCTGGTATGTTGTAAGTCCATCATTGTAGCTATTGTGAGACCCTTTATTTCACGTTATTAGACTCTAACTCCAATACTGGACTCTAGTATGCAATGCAATACCAACTGTCTGTGCTAGGTTGGTGCAAATGGCCTTGAACCAAGGGATCACCAAGTTCTATTTTTGTTGTTTTCCTATCAGCCCACACCCAAGCCCCAGAACAAAAGCCACATCCAACATTAGCAAAAGCAACAGAGCCAGGGAAACAGAGGAAGAGGGAAAGCGAGAGGGAGTGCTAAAGAGAAAAAATAATCAGAGCCTTGATGTCAATTTGCAGTTAGAAAACTCAAGCACGTAAATTAAAAAACATTTATCAAAGAGATGACAACTTTATCACTGGCAGATTGAACTGAAATTTTGGGGAAATTTCACGATTTTAAGATTACTTTCCCATGCACTAAATGGTACATACCTGCAAATCATTTTCTTTTTCTTTTGATTTAATCCAAGTTTTGCCTTGAGTTTGTGGATCTATCAGGAGTGGGTACCTGGTAGCCTTTGTCACAATAATGCCATTCTGAATTGAGAGGTCATCTCCTGGCAATCCCTGCAGCCCCCACTCACCAATCTGAATGACAGGAAAGGGATACGGCCATTGAAAGGAGAACAACAATGCTTCTACTAGTAATCAAAAGTATCACATTTTAAAAGAATTTAAAAATTGGATGCCTTTATTTTTCTTTGAAACAATGCAACTGGGAAAAAAACAAACAAGCTTGTGAATGTGAACCGAGTCATATTAACTTTAAAAAACAAATTATGATCTAATGAATCCTTTCCTTAATAACCCAAGACTAGGGTTAGCCCTTTGCATTGCATTCTCATACTTACGGGGAAATGTTGTAAAGTGATTGCTTACTGAACCTGATTTGGAGATTTCAGTGGCTGAACATTTAGAGAACACGGGGGCTTAAAATGTGGTGGGACTGAGTAGGTGGGGGGATCCAGATTGGCTGGATTTAGTGGAGTAATGACTATAATGAGACGTCAGAGAACAAGATAAACTCCAAGGAGAAGCCCTGAAACTCCCCTTCCTGCCTTTTGGCTCTGCTTATATGGGGTAAGGGTGACTGCAGAGCTAAAGGCAAAGAAATTAGATTACATGAGACATTAGATTGGCAGGAGCTCATCAATGAAATTTTTGTGAACATTTCCTCCTCCAAATTAACATTGGATTGCCAGCCTCCCTCCATGTGATCAATAAAATCACCCGATATCCAAGAAGCCAACCAGCCTCCACCTTCATTAAATTACCCCAGGACCTCCAAAGGCCATAATTAATAAAGAATACCCTAGCCCACTTTGCTTCACCAGGGTCCAGTACATCTCTCATACAAAATCTATTCCCTGTAAGAGACAGATTCAACATTGTTTGAATTGTAAAAGACTGGTTTCTTAATTTTTAAGTACAGATAACATGAAATTAATAGCTTGGCATCCCTATGGAAGCAGCAACTGGGGAGCATATTTACAAATCAGGCAAGCAGCTCATAAATACAAATTGCCTGGATTTATTTCCATGTGAGCTCCGTAAGATATACCGAAAATTGATAGTGCCATCCAGTGCCCAGCAAGAAAGGTTAGTATAGTGCAGATTACTCAGTGATGCCAGAACATGCTACTGAACACTAAAAAAGATGAGGAATGATCAAAATCAGGTTAACACTGGCACTTCTGACCTAGATAATGCCTACATTTGCCTAAAATGTTTGAAACAAAGTGAGACTTCATAGGAGTGGTGAACGTAATGGAGGGTTATAAAAAGAGCTCAGTAATAGCAAGGCCGTATCTCACAAGTGCTGTTTTAGTTCACAGCAGTGTGACTAGTTTTACTTTGAAAATGTAAAGGTACTTGTATACCACAAAGAAAATTCTTCTTCTTCTTCTTTTTTTTTTGGTAAATCAAGCATTTTCAAAACAATCTTCTTGATTAAACGAAAAAAAATGTGTAACTTGATTTCTTGGTAAGAAATAAAATGAGACTGAAATTCAGATAATATTGTTAGGAAACTAATACTTACTGTTGGAGGATCCACCAACATTGAAATGATGTTCAAATTTTCAGTGAAAGGAATTCTCCGCGCTCTCAACTCTGTCTCCCACTGATCTTTAAGCAAAAGATTCCTAAATATCTGATTGAAAGGACCGAGGTAGGAAAGGAATCCAGTGCACAGCAGAATATCACCTACAAGTCTGTCAAGAAAAAAAAAAACACAAGCCCCCTCCCCAAAGTGAGACTCGGGACACACGTTTGAAGCTATTCCATTAAGCAGTTTGAAAGGCCACAGTGCAGTTTTGTTTTGTTATGGGGAGAAAACCTTGTTTGCTCCCTGCTTGATACTTTGTAATCAGACATGGAAAGACCTAAAGCAAAAGGGAGCCCAAAACCCCAAAAGAGGATAGAACTGGGAACATTTGGGGTGAGTCAGGGAACAAGGAAGAAGGCTCTCTACTAAAGCCTACAAGTTCAGAGTCTTGACTCCTAGTGGGAAATTATCGTCTTCTCATCCGTGCCCTCCCTGGCCCTGTTCAGATTCAGTCTTAGTGTTTAAAAATTGTGTTTAAATTGTGCTGTGAAATCTACTATGAGTTCATAAGAAAAATGGATCTAAATGAAGAGTCTTAACTAGCTTATTAACCATGATGAAACAAAGTCCCAATAAGACTAACTTTATCCCGCCTTGCCCATTCTGCTACTCTTCTCTTCTCCCCCTCTTTTAAGTTTTCTGAGGACACCAACGGACACCACACACCAACACAAGATACTCTTGTATTAAGAACAAACCACTGATCCACACTACCAAAAATCACTGAAGGGAAGAGCAGAGAACTGGAACAAGTATTTAGATTGCTGTGGAGAAGCAAAACAACATCAGAAGCATCCGTATACTGGACACCCACACTGCTGAACCAAAACTGAGATTAGAAAATATTTCAGGACATTTTATTCACTCTGTTTTACTGAGAGTGCGTGGTTTAAGCTGTAAGCACTTTCTTGAGTGTAAGCAGTTTCTTAGAGGATGGGAGTCACAGATGGGTATGTGGACATGAAGGAGAAAAGCAAGTCATCCTGGAAATGGATTTTTTGTTCTCTAATGTCACAAAGAGGTGGCATTTGGAGTGATGACTAAGAAGGAGAGCTAGTATAATGAAGACCAGAATTTGTACCTATTAATCTGAGCTTTGAACTCTTTACTTTGCTGAGTCCACCGGACTTTTTCTCCACTCAGTCCATCGATGAGAGTGGAAGCTGCCTGCATCTTTTTCCGGCACATGTCGGCATCATTAAGCAAATCCTATATTCATAAAGGGAGAATGCCTCAAAGAACTCTCCTGAATGCTTAATAAAGCATCTATTATGTTCACACATAAAAATACACAAAGAAGTATCTGAATTTTCAAAACAAATATAATTTAAAAATACAGTGTAAAACTTTACATATTAAATTCTGATAATTCATTGACTTACATCATAATATAGTTATTTTTGCCTTACGAAATCTCAAGAAAAGCAATTTTGTATGAGATAACCCATAGAGCATAAATTAAAATAATATTTCTTTAAATATTTTCAAAAGTGAATCAAATAAAAAAAATTCACAACTTTAAGTCTTGGACTTAATGATAATCCTGAGTTCTCTGCAGTTTACAGAGCATTTTTTTCCCCCAGAAAAAAACCTCACAATTAGTGGTGTGTAGGACTCAGTTTGTACCAGCTCACAAGAACCAAATGTTACATTTTCAGAAAATATGTGAGCTAGTTGTTAAACATAGCCCTGGTGGTGCAGTGGTAAAGAGACTGGCTGCTAACCAAAAGGTTAGGAGTTGGAATCCACCAGTGGCTCCTTGGAAACCCTATGGGGCAGTTCTACTCTGTCCTATAGGGTTGCTATGAGTTGGAATCTACCTGACCGCAATGGGACTGTTAAAAATTAAATCATATAAACTTATACTTAAGCAAATTATATTTTTAAAAAGGTAATAAAAACTCAAAACTCATCACTTCCTAAATATTTACTACATTGTACTATTATCTATGCTGTTGGGGATATTTAAATCCATTGTACTCCTATGGTGACTATATTCAGGCTTTTTCTGTAATGAATTCTGCTGAGCATCTTTTTCCAACTTTGTGTTCATCACACTGATAGCTTGAAATCAGCAGTGGTGGGAATATTTACACCACAGAAAGCAGCAAACACTATAAATCAAGGCGCGCCCCCACCCTGAGCCAGTTTTTGAACATTTACCAGCCCACCATGGTTGATAGCCTACCCTGTAAGGTAGTATATTTACTACCCAGCACTGTAGAGTCGGTTCGGACTCATAGTGACCCTATAGGACAGAGTAGATATGCCCCGTAGGGTTTCCAAGGCTGTAAATCTCTATGGAAGGAGACTGTCACATCTTTCTCCCACGGAATGGCTGGTGGGTTCGAACTGACGACCTTTTGGTTAGCAGCTGAGTGCTTTAACCACTGCACCACCAGGGTTCCTAAGGTAGTATTAGGATCCCCATTTTACAGATGAAGTTGTCACTTGCCCTAAATTGCATAATTAACAACTGGTTGAGCTGGATGTCAAATCCAGTTTTTAAACTTTAAAATCAGCAGTTTTCATTTTATATCACATCTTTTACAGATACATAAATATTAAAAACACAAAAAAGAATTTTGGAGTGCCAAAGATCCAAAATAGGTAGCTAACAGCACTCAGGTATATCTTGTTTCATCATAAACATTTGCCTGGTTTCTAAATACAACACATACTTCTGTAAAATTTTCATTACATCGCTTTGGTGATTTTATATATTTAATCTCACCATTTTCTCATTCATTGCTGCATCAAATTTTGCTTGTACTTTATCCAACTCGGCTTGCTTCTCATCCAGCAGGGCCTGTGCCTTCCCTAATTCAGCATTAGCAACTGATAAACGGCCCTCCTGCTTTGCCAGGTTAGCCTTAAAAGGAAGAAGAAGTGGTTAGTGTAGAACTGAATTAGCGCTACAAAACATTCATGTGATTCTAATTGGCAAATGGTAACAAAATTACATAATTTTTCCATTAGATGGTACATTGGAAGACATCTGTTTCAGAGTTTTCAGCTAGAGAAGCAGAGGGTCTTTGAGATATTTCGCTGATTTTTTTTTCCTTTTATTATTAATGTACTTACATGTTTAATATAGAAAACATGGAAAATACAATAATGCATATGGAGAAAAAAAATCACCCATGATGCTACCCAGAGATAACCTGTGAATATTTTGTTAAGTTAACTGATACTCTTATTTTTTACTGACTGTATTAATATATTTTACCACATACTTAAAAATTCTTCATGAACATTAGTTTTATGACTTCATGATATTCCATGACTTAGATGTATCATAATTTAAGTAACTTTCCCCCTACTTTCAGACATTCATTTTTTCCCACATTTTTAATTATTATATTTTTATTATTGTATTTTATTTTTAATTGTTATAAATGACGCTCTGATAAATACCGTTGGGTTTGTAATTGGAACAGTAATTTTCATTTCTTTCTAAGCCCTACAGCATGGTAATTATCTGTTTCTTGTAAATTTAATATAATTAATCAGTAATCTAGACCCAGAGCCTTCTGGAGTAGTTACTTTTGATAACTTTCTCAGTATTTGATTGATTTGAATTTAGTCCCTTTTCCCAGAAAAATTTTATTTCATGTAGATTTCCTAATGCATTTACATACATCTGCACAAATTTTTGTTTTAATTATTTAAATCTACACATCTGTGACTATATGGATTATATGGAAAGTCTTACTATTCTCATTTGTTTTTCAGTGTTTTTTTCTTGATTAGATTTTCCAGGAGCATATCTCTTGTATTTTGTCTTTGCAAAGCACCAGTTCTTAGATTTACTCATTAGTTCTGCTTTTCTTGTCTCTAATTTTTAATGTTATTTTTATTAGCTCTCTTTTGCTTTCCTTAAATTTTGTATGTATGCGTGCTTATGAGTACGTGAATGTACTATTTTGTCCACATCACGAAAATTTTGATAACTAGATTATTTTCATAATTTTCTAAACAGAAGTGGCTCTGGCTTTTTTTTTTTTTAATGTAAACTTCCTCATTTTATTGCATTATGATCAGAGAATGAGGTGCCAGCAACTTGTGCTTTTGAGAATTTAAGCAAGGTTTTCTTTTAACTTTGAATAGGATCAATTTTTATCAATGTTTCTCAGATACTAGAAATAATTTCATATTCTTTGTTTATACTGAAGGAAGTTCAATATAGCTATTCAACGTTAATAATAATATGGTATAAAATCTCTATATATTTATTAGTTTATGCCTACTCAGGACTGGCTACATAATTTGTTGGCCCAGTGCAAAATGAAAATGTGCAACCCTGTTATGGGTTCATTTGTGTCCCCCAAAAAAGATATGTTGAAGTCTTAACCTCTCGTACCTGTGAATATGACCTTGTTTGGAAATAGGGTCTTTGAAGATGTTACCAACTAACATGAGGTCCTAATGCAGTAGGGTGGGTCCTAATCCAATATGAGTGGTGTGCTTATAAAAGAGAAGAGATGCAAACAGACCCACAGGGAAGATGGCCAGGCGAGATCAGAGTTATCTACAAGCCAAGGAACACCAAGGATCACTGGCCGTCACCGGAAGCTGGCAGAGAGGCACGAACAGTTTCTCAGAGCCCTCAGAAGAAACTGACCAAGCAGCTGCCCTGATTTCAGACTCCTAGCCTCCAGAACTGTAAGGCAATACATTCAGTTCTCATAAGCCAACCAGTCTGCTGTACATTGTTAGGGTAGCCCCAGGAAATGAACACAGGCTCCTCATTAAAGAGGGCAAAGGCAGAGCATTAAACCAAGCAGAGGCCTTTCTTAGCACAGGGCCACATGTACACAGGTCGCACACCCATATAGCAGGCTCTATGCCTACTCCATCTGTCATAGATGAATAGCGTGTGCCAGGGTCACAAATTATAATATCTGTTAATTTCTACTTAGCATAGTAAGTAATTGATTTTACTTTATGTAATTTGATACTATTTTACTGATTGCATGAAGCATTGTTGCAATTAAATCTTCACTGTGTATCATAATTTTTATCAAGAAAAAGTAACTCTGCTCCCATAAATGGTTTTTTTCTTATTTCTACATTTATAGTAACACTGTTCCCTTGGTATCTTTTTATGTGGGTGTATCTGCTATCTTTTCCCATCCTTCCCCTTTGCTAAAATTTTCTTACTTTGAATTTATTTTTAATTTTTCTTAAAGTTACATGTGCACAGAGTTTAAAGAGGCAGTCATTTCTATAAGGATTATTATGAAAAACAGTAATCCTCTGCCCACACACTCACCATTTTCCAGTCCACAAAGCAACCACTTTAAATTCTTTTAGCTTTTGGTTGGCAGAGGGGAGAAAAGAAGTTGAGAGTAATGTGTATCTAGAGGTATATTTTGTGAATCCTTGCATCCCTAAGAATGTCTTTCTGTTCCCTCAGACAGGAAGGACAGCTTGACCCAGTATACAGATGGTTGGGTTTTGTGTGTCTGTGTGTGTGTCTGTGTGTGTGTGTGTGTGTGTTTACCACCTAAGTTGCGCCCTTGAAAATGTCTTTCTGTTCCCTCATACATGAAAGGCAGCCTGAATTCTTGTTATTGAATAACTGTACTACAGCAATTTTCCTCTCAAAACTCTGCATATGTTTTTCCATTATCTTCCAGCATTTATGGTTGTGGGAAGCCTGCAACATTCTGATTTCTTTTGTAAGCAACTGTTGCTTGATTGTTCATTTCTTAGATGCATATAAGGTTCCCTTTCTAAAAATCTCTAAGACTTAAAACATTTCTAGGATTTATCTGTTTTTATAAATTTTGTTTGGAATACAGTAATAAAACTCAGTCTCCAAACCCAATGCTCAAACTTTTAAGAAATGGCAAGTTTTCTTTCATGATAGCTTGATAATTATTTCCAATAAGTTAATTTCCTGTTTAAGTTAAAGAGCTGGCTTCAGTTACTTGTCTGTGATGCCAAAAAATACATAAAGGATGTAAAAGAAATGAGAAACTGTGAGAAGACATACATAAAAAGAAAAAATTGGTAACAAGGACATATACCTTTATTAATCTAAATTATGCTTTGTCTTTTAATAGTAGTAATACTGATGATTGATTCTTTAAACATTGGTTTATGGAGAAATGAAGGAAAATGTTTACCTTCAGGGGCAACACTTCCCTATTGATGCCATAAAATGTCGCCATAGCAAGTGTCCAAGACAGCAGACCGGCCACATTCCCACAGACTTTTTTTGCACTTTCGAAGGTGTAGTCATCCATATTAAAATATGGCTGTAGTAACTCAACAGTCTCTTCATTTATGGTATCCTTGGGGAACTGCTGAAGGTTGAACAGGAATCCTGTTGCACTCATCAACTGAAAAATAGCATAACAACTTGTAACTTCGGAGAGAAAATAAATATTTTCTTCCTTAGATTTAGTGTGCATTTCCAAATTGAAGTAACAATTGATTTGCCCTAAACATATAGATCAAGATTATGATGCAGTCAACTTAAGTCTGTAAATTGCAAATTGTCTTCTCGTTTCTGTAGAGAAAGAGCAAAGAAGAAAGCTACATATATTTCCTGTCTAGAGAGTTCATCTAAATACCACCAACCACACAGCCCCCCTCCCCACCTTTTCAAAACTGGGCTAGGTTGATACCAAGACCAGCCACTAGTTCTGAACAGACTTCATAAAAGGAAGGCATTCAGCTTTAAAATCTATCCTTACTTAGATTTTGGGAGATGCAGTTTCTGATAAGCTCTTAGATACACAATAATCAATTATTGTCTGTCAGCTTGTCTGGTCTATACTGAGTGTCCAGGACTGGGGACACGTGATGCGCCTCATAGGGCTTACAAAGATAGATTCTACTTACTTTTAATGATTCTCCCCAGGATGGCTTGCAGCAAGGTTTTTCTGGATCCATAGTAACCGGGTCAATTTTCTTTTGAAACAGTAACAGAACGCAGTCCATGATCCTCATAATAAGGTGTGGGGGTTTTGCAAGTTTTCTGACCGTGGCAATATCATTTGGTTTGATTGTCTGTATTGGGGGTTTGGAATCAATACATATTTTGTTCAGTAATATTAATAGTCATGTGGAGATCTAATACTTTCAAATAATTAAGGTAGAAAACTTAAAAACTTAGTCTCCCTCCAATCTCTGGCATTATCTCCTCAAAGTTCTGAATTCTAAGATTTTTGCGTAATGGCTCTTTCACTGTTATTTTGAGATTTCTGTTAGTTTTTGTTCTTTTTTTCCCCCCAGTTGCTCCTAACTAACTACTTTGGAACATCACTACCATTCACTTCTCACCACCCCACACTCTCCTGAGGAGGGCAGAGAAGACACAATTACCCTAAATGAGGATACCTGCTATGATAGAAGCCTAGGGGTGATAGGAAAAGAGGAGGGCCCAGAAGAAGTACTGAAAACATTCTGGAGGAGGTAAGGAGTGAGCCCAGTCTTGAAGAATGACTCTTATTAAGCAATGAAGGTTAGGAAAGGCATTCCTGGCAGAGGGAGAGGCACATTTAAACGTGTGCCCATGATCCTTCCAAAAGCCTACATAGGTATTTCTGTATGTTAGGGCAGAATGTCAAGAGATGAAGTTCACGGAGTAGACAGAAGCCAGGTCAGCAGCAGCACTGGTATTTCTTGAGCACATTCTGTGTGCCCAATATATTGTATTCATTGCTTTTAGCTACATTGATCCCTCAAGAATCCATGGGGAATTTAATCCCCACGGAAACCCATGAAAGTTAAGTAAATTTACTCCAGATCATGTATCTAAGAAGTGGTTGTCATGAGAGGAAAACGCGGATCTGTCTGTCTCCAAAGCAGCAGTGGATGGCTGGCTCAGGACTTGATCCTGAGAGCAGTGAGGAACCACAAGTGGATTTTAAGAATCAAGGGTGGCATAATGTGGATGGGATGCTGGAGGATCCCAGAAGGCTCTGTATATAATCTCAGTCCCTCATGCTATAGTTTAAGCCATTAATCGCCAGCCTTATGTCTCAGTTCTCATGGAAGGCTGATTTATGGAATGAAAATAATAAGTTTACAGGAAGGAAAAGTCTTTAAAAAATTAAAACATAGAAAAGTAAAGCAATGGAAACATTTGTTTGCACACTCAGAGATTATAAATCACATTAAGAATCCAATTCTGTTTTCTGAATACAAAAATTCCATAGTTAACGTATTGTAAGGAAACATGGCACCCGCTAGGACTTGTCTTGGGAGGGATAACAATGCACTGCTCACATTCAGGGCTGCTTCTGCCTCTTCCAAAGCAGGTTTAGCTGCCTCGAGTTTGGTCTCAGCTTTTACTTTTTCGGTATCAATTTCATCCACAATTTTCTGGGCTTTGTCTTTTACCTCCTGTACTTCATTTTTCACCTTAGCCGAAGCCTGTGCACTTACTGTGACTTCTGCTAATACCTGTTAAATTGAGGAAACAGATGAGAGCAAACTGTAAGCAAAATTCACAGATCTATATTAGATATTTCATATTTAACATAATACAAAGCATGAATAAGTGCAAATTTAGTCTCCAGCTAAGTTGCCTGTATTTCAAGGGTTTTAAAAGTAATTCCTCTGAGCAGTTCCTTGCAGTCTTCTATTTTCTAAGCTTTTCTCAAGCTTAGCATATATAAAGAAATATTTCAAGCTTTCAGGAAAATGGCATTTCCAATATACGCAATTTCTGGAGAATTAGGAACAGTTCAAGTAAGTATAATAGAATACTGTCGGAAACCATAGGAAACCCACAGCAATAACAATAAAAAATAGCTAATTTAGTTGAGTGCTTACCCTATGCCAGCACTGTGCTAAGCACCTTCCCTATGTTATATCTCAGTCAATCCATTAACTGGGTAAGGGTCATGATCTAATATGTATTCTTAACTGACTCTCAGGGAGTGGAATATGAGAACAATCTAATACTGGTAGGTGATAGATAAGGAGCAGCACATATGTATCACTAGCACCTTGACAGGAGTATATATACACCAGTAGTCCCCAGCTTAACAGTGTATTCGAGTTACAATGAACCACACTTACAACCATAGGTTTATTTATTTATTTATTTGGTACATCTTATCATTATTAATGTGTACTACATACAATGTTGCAGCATGTAATTTGCTGATGTCATCACATCTGTAAGTTTGTATGTAATATTTCCAATCCTCAAAGATAAATAAAGATTGGATTTATAAAGATACTGATAATAAAAAGCAATAATAATGAAAACTAAAAATAATAATAACGTATTCAGCTTATGTCAGAACCAACTTATGATGGAGTTTTCAGAAGAAAACCCCGTCATAAGTCACAGGTTACCTGTTTATACCTGTATATATGTATATATCCCCACTCCTCACTTACTGATATGGTTAGATTCCAAAGACCAAGTCCTTAGAACTGCCAATTACATCGTTACATAACTGCCAAATCACTGAGAATCACGACCCAGCCAAGTTGGCACATAACCTTAACCATCACAGCCAGTGTTACTCTCGACTCACACCTCGGCATCTGTTACTGCCAGACATATGTCATTAATGTGTAAAACAGTCAGGTAGTAAATTTTTTACTATTGTTGTAAATGTGAAATGTCAGATAATGAGATAGTCGATAAGTGAGGAGTGGGTGTATACGTGTGTGTATATATGTATTTTTTTCTTTTTTTATTCCACTAACTCATCCTCTTATCTTTTCTCTCCTTTACACAAACTATAGATGATGCTTGGGCCACCCTAAATCTGGAGCAAAGAGAAGACCCAATACAACTTATAGTCAAGCAAAAATTGCATAAGGAAGCCTAGGGGACAGTGAGTTGAAAATAGTGGTGATGGAATAATTTGGAAAAGGATAGTGTGAATAGCAGCACAACTGGAAGAATGTAATCGATGTCACTGAATTGTACATGTAGAAACTTTTGAAATGGTGTATCTTTGGCTATGTATATTTTCACAAAAAAAAAAAAAAAAAAGGTCCTCCAAGGTCGAGAAGGGAGAGGGGTTGTTAACCAATGTCATAAACAATATGTGGTACTGACTGTTTAATGAGAACTATTTGTTCTGTAAACCTTCATCTAAAGTACAATAAAAAAAAAATTTTTTAAAGTCTTCCAATAAAAAACTGCATAAACAAAGGAGAGAGAACAGAGTAAGAAAAGAAAGAATAGCCTTAGACCAAGTAGAACGTATAATAGCTATGACTTAGTATAAGTTAAACAAAAATATTTAACGGTCTTTGAATAGTCTCTTAACCACAAACTGTCCGCAAGCCCTGTTTATTTTTTTAATAGCATTTTGAAATAATGTTTTTTTTAATATGAAAAAATATTCATCATCTCTAGTCATAAAATAAATACAAACTCACTTCATCTGCTTTTACAGAAGCCACTGCCAATTCCTTCTCCTTCACTGCAAGATCCTGAGAGAGTTTAGCAACGGATTCACTTGCCTCCATTAGCTTATCAAGACCTTAGAAAATATGATAATCAGGTAGTTTACAAATACACACTCTTGCTGAGTATATGAAGATACACCATATAAGTAAATACTACAACAAACACAAGATAATTCTTTATGAACAAGAGCTTTAAAAATATACATGTCTTAGGTGCAACAATACTGACCATATTTCTCAGAGTTTCAACAGAGGGTGCAGTAAGTAGCTCTGATTGAAGAATATTATCTAGCTGCTTTTAACGGAAAATCACCATGGTATGTTGTATAAGATTATTTTAGCCAGGAAATTTACTGGACAAATGTATTATCACCTTGACTTTGTAAACAGTTTCTATCATTTTTTTGCCTTTGAATTGTATTGCAGCTGAGGTGGCAATGAGGCAGATAACGTATTAACATTTTTTTGTAGTTCTCTTTGCTATAAAAATTAAAACGTGTAACTGACTCTGTAATTTTTGGTATTATAGAGCAAAATAATTCGTTAACTGAATTTCTCATATTCCAACTGGATTCTAGACAGTGAGAGGTATTGGCAAATGTTCATGTCTCTGGGAGAGAAAAGAAACATCTGGGTCTCTGGGGGGAAGAAGCACGGATTTGTATGTCTGCCAATTTCCACGGTGTAAATACTCCCACTACGGCTGATGTCAAGCTACCAAGAGATTCTCAGATGGACACTACTATATAATATTTCCACCATACAGACATAATAGATACAAATCACCTGGAGAACATTAATAATAGTAAGATGTAGTAAAAAAATAGAGAAGTGATGAGTTTTGAGTATTTATCACACTTATTTTTAATATAATTTATTTAATTGTAAGTTTATATGATGCAATTTTTTTTAAGGCCGTGTTTAACAACCAGCTCATAAAATTCCTAAAAATTTAACTGGCACTCATGAGCCAGTACAAGCCAGCTTCAGCACATCAATAGTTTTAGAGCATCACTTAGAAAAGCTGCAAGAAGGTGGGCCATGAGAAAAACAACAGAAAAAGCTTTCTTTCACAACATTTCTATCATCACTATAACTTCACAGACCCTGGAGTTAGTTACACTACATGAGCAAGTGATGTGTAGGCAAAGTAAAAAGAAAGCACTAAAGTGTGTTTTCCACCACCTGTGTATCAGTTTGTCTTAGTGTGGTGGCTTGAGTGTTGCTATGATGCTAGAAACTATGCCACTAGTATTTCAAATACCAGCGGGGTCATGCATGGTGGACAGGTTTCAGTGGAGCTTCCAGTCATAGCTTTTAGTCTTAGCTTCCAAACTACAACAGACTAGGAAGAAAGGCCTGGCCATCTACTTTCAAAAATTAGCCAACAAAAACTTCATTGATCACAACAGAATATTGTCCAATATAGTGCTGAAAGATGAGCCCCCTAGGTTGGAAGGCACTATACAATAACCACAACAATGGATTCAGACATACCAACAATCATAAAGATGGCACAGGACCAGGTAATATTTAGTTCTGTTATATATAAGATTGCTGTGCATCAGAGCCAATCTGATGGCAACTAATAACAACAAAATGCATTTTGGATCATTGGGGCTACATGCTTTTTGGACATATAATCTGTTCAATTTATACTTTGCCTGGGTATCTACTTCTGAAAAAGCCAGTGAAAACCCTATGGATCACAGTGGTCTGATCCGCAACTAATTATAGGGATGGGATGGCGCAGGACCAGGCAGTGTGTCTTTCTGTTGTGCATGGGTTGCCATGAGCTGGGGTCCAACTTGATGAGAGCTGGCAACAACAACAACATGGCAAATCAAGGAAAATCATACTGAGATCAAAAACTGTAAGGTGACTTTTCCCCTATCTCTGAGCAGTGGCTCCGTGACTATGCTGACTCACTGCCCAACAGAGCTGAAAGAGCTGAGAGAAATGGTTCTAGAGAAAAAACAGGCACCTCGGTTTACATTTCCTTCTGCCCAGAGTTTCTTGACAGGTTAGAAGGTCCTTAGGGGCGTCCCTCAAAATTATCCAAATACAAAATTAGTATTTTGTTATCAAACAGAACAATATCCTCCAACAAAATATTAGGATCGCTATCAAACAAACCCCCTGAAATAAACTGCGTTCTTACCAATATTCATACGTTCAGCTTGTCCATCAATATATTTCACCTTTTCAGTATAAATGTTTTTATAACCATTTATAAATGAGAGATATGACTTTGGGGTCACGTGGGCTCTTCGGCGGTATCTGAAAATAGAACATAGAAGCTTTCTTCGTAGCTATCATTTTGGTGTACCCCCAAAACATGTCAATACAGACGTTGTTCTTGTTGTAAAATCAGTGTAGTCCTGTAGATTGATTCACTAGCAAGAGGACAGGAATTATGACTGGCTTTCCTAGCTGTGAGGTGGAAACAGAACTAAATCCCTGTCTGACCGGGTTTAGGGTTTTTGACTTGATTCTCATCATGTCTCTGGACTTCTATTTCCTCATCTGGAAAATTGAGGAGAATCTCTGCCCTACACCTCACAGAATTTTGTGAGTATCAAGTAAGGTAACATGTGAACATGCTTTGTTAACTTTAAATTGTGCTGTGATCCATTTTCATACATCTGATACAGAGGCGAAAACAAGTCTCTCCCCCGGGTCACTGGCTCTTCCTTGAAGTCAAGACAGTCACACTTGATTCAAATGCTCTAATCCACTATGAGCTTCACTATAGGAATTAGACTTAACCATGGAAATAAATTTTAAAAATAATTTTATAGAGAAGAAACTCAGGGGGCGGGGCCAAGATGGTGGAGTACTCAGATGCTTCTGGTGGACCGTCTTACAGAAAAGACCCAAAAAAAACCAAGTGAATTGATTATATATGACAATCTAGGAGCCCTGAACATCAAAGGCAAAGTTGAGGAACCGGACTGAGTGGCAAGGGGAGGGAGAGACGGTTTGAAAGCAGCAAGGAGTTGCCAGACCTGACCCAGTGAGAGCCTGAGCCATTCAGGCCTGATCAGCTCATGGGTGAGTGGTGAGGCAGGCAAGCAGTGGTGCTCAGGAGGAGTTTTCCACACCAGAAGAGAACCAGCAGCAGAGAGTCTACTCGGCCACCCAGAACCAGTGAGAAGCAGCCATTGATCAGTGAAAGATAAGTACCAGTGTCCAGCCTAATGCACAGATCAAAAACACTCACCTTAGGGAAAAACCTCTCTCCCATTTACCTCCCTGCTCCCTGCTCTGCACTGTGTCCTGGACTGGCTTCAGCAATTGCCAAGTCCCTTGGGCCAGAAGTAGGACCCTGAGCCATTCTCCTGGCCTCAGAGAGTGAACAAACTAACAAACGGGAAATCATAAACTGTCAGATCCCCTAAGCCAGCAACTCAGGGTAGGCACAGCTCCTTTGCCTAGGCACAGGCATAAGAGATGCACGGACTTTGAGTGCCTTTTCCCCTGCATAGACTTGTGTGGGCCCATGTCAATAGTGTAGGCCCTCAATACTGCAGTACAACAGGGTATTTACCTGAAGTCTAACTTACACTGTTTCAGTTGTGAAGTGGCAGGTTCATGACATTTGACAATGCTCTGTCCATTAAGCAGGGTCTTCAGTCTTCACCTACCCACATCAGGGGCCTGAGGACTGGTGGCTCTACCCATGCCACCTACTCACCTGTGATAGGGGCCCAAGAATAAGAGGTGCCCCCCAATCCTTACAGCCAACAGCAATGGGTGCTTATATTTTGCCTGCAAAATCCACCCACCTAAGTGCTATAGGGAACAGGGACATGCCTTCCTCCTGGACACTTGGGGGTGGCTGTCAGGCCCCTGCCTTGCTCAGAGTGTGCCCCCCCAGCTACAGCCAGATGCCTGTGCCTACACCAATCACCTATGCCTGTCTAGGACTGTAGGCGAGAGCCTGCAACACACACTTGGTGGATATCTACTGGAGCCCTTGAGCTGAATCCATACAGGAGGAGTGGGTGGACTTCTGAGCTCACATACCTAGTAACAGATCTAACCACCTGGTGACAGGACATTAGAGCTTCAAAGGTGTCAATAATCAAACTAGCTAACATGAGCACCCTATTTGGGCAGATCAAAACAAAACAAGAAGCTAGGACACAGTAAGCAAACATAAAATAAATAAACGTAATAACTTATTGATGGTTTGGAGACACCAGTCAATATAAAATCACATAAAAAGGCAGTCCATGATGGCTTCAGCTAGCTCCCAAAATAAAGAATCTAGAAGTTTTCCAGAGGAGGAAAATTTATTGGAATTACCAGAGGCAGAATACAAAAGATTAATATACAGAACTCTTCAAGAGATTAGGAAGGAAATTAAGCAAAATGCAGAACACGCAATACAGGAAATTAAAAAGGTTAGAGAAGAGCACAAAGACAAACTTAACAGGCTGAAAGAATCCACAGAGAGGCAGCAATCAGAAATCCAGAAGATTAACAATAAAATTTCAGAATTAGACAACTCAATAGAAAGTCATAGGAGCAGAATTGAGGCAATGGAAGTCAGAATTAGTGAGATTGAAGATAAAGCACTTGACACCAACTTATTTGAGGAAAAATCAGATAAAAGGATTTTAAAAATTGAAGAAACCCTAAGAATTATGTGGGATTCTATGAAGAGGAATAACCTGAGACTGACTGGAGTACCAGAACGGGGCGGGGGGTGGGGGTGGATAACAGAAAATACAGAGAGAATTGTTGAAGATTTGTTGGCAGAAAACTTCCCTGATATCATGAAAGATGAGAAGATATCTATCCAAGATGCTCATCAAACCCCACATAAGGTAGATCCTAAAAGAAAGTCACAAAGACATATTATAATCAAACTTGCCAAAACCAAAGATAAAGCGAGAATGTTAAGAGCAGCTAGGGATAAATGAAAAGTCATCCAAAAAGGAGAGTCAATGAGAATAAGCTCAGACTACTCAGCGGAAACCATGTAAGCAAGAAAGCAATGGGATGACATATATAAAGACTTGAATGAAAAAAATTGCCAGCCAAGAATTATATATCCAGCAAAACTGTCTCTCAGATATGATGGCAAAATCAGGGCATTTCCAGATAAACAGAAGTTTAGGGAATCTGCAAAAACCAAACCAAAGTTACAAGAAATACTAAAGGGAGTCCCCCAGTCAGAAAATCAATAACATCAGATAACAACCCAAGACTAGAACACAGGACACAGCAACCAGATATCAACCCAGATATGGAAGTCACAAGAATATAAATCAAAGCTAAAACACTGAAAATAGGGAAACAGATGTCAATATGCAAAAAATGACAGCATCAAAACAAAAAAGAGGGACTTAAAAAAATGTAGACGTAGATTTTTTATAGGGAGAGAAAGTCAAGATGATAAAAAGAAATAAAAGACTGTTTAAACTTAGAAAAATAGGGGTAAATTTAAGATGATCACAAAGGAAACTAACAATCTTACAAGTCAAAATAAAAAACTAAAAAAATATAAAAACTCAGCAAATACAAAATCAACAACAATGAAAAAGATGAAAAGAAAATACATAAGGAAAAACGACTCAGTACAGAAAATTAAGTGGAACAAAGAAACTGTTAACAACACACAAAAAAAGACATCAAAATGACAGCACTAAACTCATACCTATCAATAATTATGCCGAATGTAAAAGGACTAAATGTACCAATAATGAGACAAAGAGTGGCAGACTGGATAAAAAACACAATCCGTCTATATGCTGCCTACAAGAGACACATCTTAGACTTAAAGACACAAACAAGCTGAAACTCAAAGGATGGAAAAAATATATCAAGCAAACAACACACAAAAAAGAGCAGGAGTGGCAACATTAATCTCTGACAAAGTAGACTTTAAAGTAAAATCCACTACAAAGGATAAGGAAGGACACTAATGATTAAAGGGTCAATACACCAAAGGGACATAATAAATATTTACACTCCCAACGACAGGGCTACAAAATACATAAAACAAACTCTAACAGCATTGAAAAGAGAGATAGACAGCTCCACAACAGTAGTAGGGGACTTCAACACATCACTTTTGGTGAAGGACAAAACATCCAGAAACAAGCTTGACAAAGACATGGAAGATCTAAATGCTACAATAAACCAACTTGATCTTATAGACATGTACTGAACACTCCACCCAACAGCAGACAAGAATACTTTCTTTTCCAATGGGCATGGAACATTCTCCATAATGGACCACACACTAGGCCATAAAGCAAGCCTTAACAGAATCCAAAGCACTGAAATATTACAAAGCATCTTTTCTGACTATAAAGCCATAAAAGTAGAAATCAATAACAGAAAAAGCAAGGAAAAAAAAATCAAACACGTGGAAACTGAACACCTTGCTCAAACACTACTGGGTTATAGAAGAAATTAAGGACAGAATAAAGAAATTCTTAGAATCAAATGAGAATGAAAACACACCCTACCAGAAACCTTGAGACACAGCAAAGGCAGTGCTCAGAGGTCAGTTTATAGCAATAAATGCACACATCCAAAAAGAAGAAAGGACCATAATAAAAACATTAACCCTACAACTTGAACAAGTAGAAAGAGAGCAGCAAAAGAAGCCCCTGGGTGCCAGAAAGGAAATAATAAGAATTAGAGCAGAATTAAATGAAGTAGAGAGTAGGAAAAAAAATTGAAAGAGTTAACAAGACCAAAAGCTGGTTCTTTGAAAAGACCAACAAAATTGATAAACCATTGGCCAAACTGACAAAAGAAAAACAGGA